AATTTTGTCCCAACTTCAGGCAGACTACAGTAAACAACATCTCCCAAAGCTTCCTGTGCAAAATTGCTGATTCCCACTGTTCCAACACCATTTTCTGTTGTTACCCATTCTTGTTTCTCTGTAAATTTACGCACTGAAAGCAGAGTGGGTCCCGTGCGCAGCGTCCAGACGGCGCCCGCCCCCAGCCGCCAGGGCCGCGGCGGGCAGGGCACGGAGGGCGCCGAGGCCGAGCGCAGGCTGCAGGCCACAGCCCGCACGTTCCTCGCTGCTCGCAGCGCCATGTTCGAAGGGTACTGAGGGTCGTGGCACAGCGCCTCGGCCACCCGGACCAGAGGGATAGTCACAAGTTTCCCTTTTCTACACATCCTCACCAATCCTTGTTATCTTTCATCTCTTTGATAGTAGCCACTCTAACTGATGTGAGATGAGACCTCATTGTAGTTTTAATTTGCGTGTCTCTGATGATTGGTGATATTGAGCATTTTTTCATATACCTGATGGCTATTTGTATGTCATCTTTTGAGAAATGTCTATTCAAGTCTTTTGTCTTTTTTAATCAGGTTAATTTGTTTGACTCCTGTTGAGTTGTTTCAGTTCCTGATACATTTTTGATATTAACCCTTATCAGATATATGGTTTGCCAATATATTCTCCCATTCTGTAAGTTGTCTTTTCATTTTGTCAATTGTTTCCTTTCCTGTACAGAAATGTTTTAGTTTGATATAATCCCATTTGTCTAATTTTGTTTTTGTTGACTGTGCTTTTGGGGTCATATCCAAAAAATCTTTGCCCAGACCAATGTCATGGAGTTTTCACCTATGTTTTCTTATAGTAGTTTTATAGTTTCAGGTTATATGTTTAAGTCTTTAATCGACTTCGAGTTGATTTTTGCATATAGTATGATATGAGGGCCTAATTTCATTCTTCTGCATATAAATATCCAGTTTTCCTAACACAATTTATTGAAGAGACCATACTTTCCCTATTGTGTGTTCTTGGCATATTTGTTAAAAAAAA